TTTTAGAAAAATAAAACTAGAAATCTTATTAAAAGGTAATCGTATACAGATATGAGATACAGATCAATATATTTTTATATTTTTATATAAAAAGTCTAATAATAATTCATTTATACAAAGAATGTTGTGTTTTTATATTAAAATAAAGTTGGACATCATCATCAAATGGATATAGTTATTAACAAGTTGGGTATAACTGTCGTTAAAAATGTAGATAATACCACCAAAGTACTGATAAGTTTGAATATTATTAGCGATGTTGAACACCATTCAATCACAATCAACGACTCCAAAAACATGTATTTGTACTAATAACTACACCAATTAGTGGATTAATTAAGATTATACCTAAGCAAGCGAAAAAGACAGGCTTCAATGCGTTTTGAAACTTTCCTCTCATTCAGATTTGGCAACTTGGAGGTTTTATTAAATATTTAAGAATGTGTGATTTTCACTGCAAAGGACAATTGAAGCTATTAATCACATGTAATTTTGATTTGTTTGACTATATATAGTTCAAAGCTCTATGCTATTGGTGGAAAAGGTGATGGCAAATGAGTCAAATTTATCTAGAATTGAATTTGATAAAAAATAAATAAAAAATGCACTAAGAAAAGCAAAGTTTAAATCAAAGATTAATTACATAATTATAATTAATTAGAATAATTATAATCAAAGATTAACACTTTTTAGTTTAATATTTTTATGTTGACAGTTGACAGAAAGAATACTGGAAGAATTAGTCATGAAGCCACGAGGCTGAGACCACAAAAAAATGGTCAAAAAAAAAAAAAATTTTTCAAAACGTGTGTATATATTCTCCCGTGTGGGACACTGGACAGGAAACTCAGTTTATTTCACAAACACAATGACTAATTTATTATCAGTAAATAGTTGACTAGCGATTTGTAAAATGCGAAATGTCAACGGTATTAGTGTTATATATTTGTGGTTTTACCATTTAAAAAGTGAACGATAAAATTTTATTTTCCTTTTGTTTTCTGTGTTGACCTTTATATGAAATGCTCGGAAGAAATTTGATTATATTGTGAACACCGTTGACATATGAATTTAAGTCAATTAGCAAATTAACAGATTCTGATTTATGAAATATATACATATATAAACATATTATATATATATATATAATATATATATAATATATAATATATAATATACTATATATATATATATATATATATATAATATATATATATATAATATTAGGGTTTAAGACTTTTGATGCATGCATGAAGTGTTATATATATTAGGTTTAAGACGTTTTGATGCATGCATGAAGTTGAAGATTGACTGTCTGAATTATTATTTTAAGGGTTTCTTTGTTGGTATGTAGCTGAATTCGAAAGAGACATGTTGCATGTAGACCTCGGTTTGGTTTTATCAGACCAAATGGGAATTAAGGAGATGATAGCTTCTGATTAATTATAATCTAATTAGTTTAGTTTAAACTAACTGTTCAAAATTATAGACTACAAACAGTCATATTATATATAATCTATTTATCAGTATAATGTAATATCGTACCGCGAATAAAATCTTGACCTTAACCTTTGATTTCAGGAAGTTTCCTTCACCAAATGCAAATAATAATAATAATAATAATTGTAAATTCTAATTGCATGTTTGAAATGTGAATAATAAAAATCAAACTTTGTGTACGAAGTTGAAGTGACGGCGTATGACAATTATTTAAGATTAATTAAGGGAAGGAGGCAGTAGTAGGAAGTAACAATAGTTATTCTTTCTCTCCAAAAAGAACAAATCTTTTATTAATTAATTTCCAAATGATTTAATAACGTACGGCATTCAATTTTTCCTATAATAAGGTTAATTAAGGCTCATGTTATGTATATAGCTATAATTAACTGAAGCAATTAAAAAAAAATAGTACCTACGGACTGTTGTTCGGTTGGCGGTGCAAGCTGTGCATGCGGTTACCAGACTGAACATGTAGGAAGAATTTTCGACACAAAATTTTATTTCTCCTTTTGCTTGTTTGGGCACAACAATTTATCAAATGTATCCCCTCGATTATACATGAATAACACCCGAAGTGAGTAAACAATTTTTATTATAAATATATGTATGAAGAAAAGTATTTTTTTTTCTCATTGATTTTTATTTGTTCGCATTAAACCTTAAAATTTTTTTTGTGATATTGAGGACTTTATTAACTATAAGAGTAAAATTATGAGAAATTTGTTAATGGCAGTTGAAAAATATTAAAAATTTATGTTATTTTAAACAGAAGGACTAAAAATATATGTAAAGGAAAAGTTATCTACATGCTTCTAAATTTTTTCCAATTTATCTATTAGAAAGCGCAATATTTTTAATAATTTATAAACAATGGAAACCAAATTAATTTCTCATAAATTTTACTTTTATCATAAACAAATTTCTTAAAGTGAAAAGAAAAAAAAGGTTTGACGCTTTAATGATGAACCATAAGAAATGTAAGTTTAAATAGACAAAATGTAATGAATTCATGTAATAAATTTATTAAAGTATGATAATATACCGTAATAGCAAGTACACTAATTGATCATAGCTAAAGACATTAAACTTTTATTGAGACGAAAATATGTAGAGGTACACTTATTCATCATATCTATAGGAGGGAGACTAACTGGATCGATCGCAAAGCATCGCAAAAGGCGAAAGAAACACAATGACTAACTATTATAGATGAAATGCTTTGCATGGAAACTCACTCGCAAATCCTTATTTATTACCACCAAACGCCAAAACCTTCCATTGAACAATATGGTTGATCCAACAAATATTGAATTTCTTCAGAAATTTGAAAATCCTCAAACCAGAAATGAGGATTTTCAAGTAAATCATTCAGATGATAATTATAAGTAGCCTCTTCATGCCAAATCTGATAACCTTCCTCTGTACATAAAGTTTGGAGTTCTCCACATAATTCAATCCTATTCTCTTCTGTAGCCGGAAGAGAATAGTCATTATCAGATACTAAAGCCTTCGTTGTATCAACTTCACTGACAAGCTGAATAGAGCTTGATGATGAATTTGTGTTCTCCTTATTAGAGCTTTCTAAATCTGCAACCAGTGGTTTTCGATTAATTGTACAAGCTGCTGATGAGTAATTGTGATCAGAAAAGTACTTGATCCTCTTCTTGGGTTTTGGTCCATGGGTTTGAAATTGATCAGTTGCTGTGTTGTTGATCAAGCGTTTCCTTAAATAGCTGTTCCAGTAATTCTTTATGCCATTGTCTGTTCTTCCAGGTAATTCGGCTGCAATTGCAGACCATCTGTAACAATAAAAACACCATCTACTATAATTATAATAACAAACAGTGGACTAAGATCTCACCAAATGTTCACGATTCAATCAGCTGCAACAACTTTTTTATAGAGCATTTAAATAGCGGATTTTTCAAAGAAACTAATTAGTATGTAGATTATTTTGTGGAAACATGCTAATAAGTAAATCATAGGACATAGGTACTAAAATCATTTACGCTGTAAAGAAAAATAATTGTTGACCTAATGATCTTCTATTGAGTCTTTACATATCTTCTCCTTCATTTGAAGGTTTCTGGCTTTTAAAAAACCTAACAGTTGAACATTTCTGAAGGAAGGTAATTATTTGTTGTATTAGTCATCTATTTCTATTACGTTGTTCTTCAATTTGTTAAACTATGCTCTATCTTTGCTATTCATGTGAAATAAAAGTCAAGATTTATTCTTTTCTTTGTTAGAGAAAGGGAAAGAAATAAAGAAAGAAAGAAAGAAAGAAAGAAAGAACTCCAATCTTCATATAAGATCGATCAGTAATTACCTATTCCCAAGGGTTTTGTGGAGCTTGAAAATGGTGTCTTCTTCTTCCTTGCTGAAGTTCCCATGCTTTATATTTGGCCTTAGGTAATTCATCCAGCGAAGTCTGCAACTCTTCCCTGATCTTGCTAACCCTAAATGAATATATAACCAAGCAAACAAAATTAACCAAGGGCTTTTTAATTAAATTACTTCATCAATATATCTAGAAGAAAGATTTAGATACAATTAGGTAGTTAATTCTCACCAGCAGCTTTGGGCATTTCGTTCCAGTTCCAAATACCAAATCTTTTAATATAAGCTACCAATTTCTCATCTTCCTCGATACTCCATATGCCTTTCCTCAGAGGCCTTTTGTCATAGAATACAGCACTCATCTTTCTCATTATTAGCTACAAACACACTATCCAAATTTGATGAGACATTTATAGTTATATATCATATGTTTCAATGATGGTTAATTAAGAAAGACCGGATAAGAGAAGAAAGGTTGAGCTAAAAAAAGTCATCCATTAACAATAAAGTAATGATTTTATTTTAAAACATAGGGTAAAAAATACCCTCGGTTTCAATAAATTATTTTTTTTTTATCAATTTTATCCATATTTAAATATAGACAAGTCAATCCTATAAATTAACGAGGAAAATTATCATGGAGAAAATAATAATAATTTTCTGTAATAAGTTTAATCTCAAATAAAGGACTTCTATAATTTTAAGTCTCCACGTTTACCGTTTGAACCTCTTTATATTCATATTTAATAATTTGCTCTCTTTATCTTTAAATTTTAGTTTCGTCCTTGTCAAATTTGTTTAAAGCTAGATATATTATCCGACCAAATTAATTAAATTTTCCATGATATTTAAACTTTTCATCTTACAAATTATATTCTTGTACAAGAAATATCACTAAATCAAAACTAAATTCCTTGATAGCTAATCATTTTTTATCATCTATACATCCTTTTCTGGAAATTAAGAAAAATATTTAGTTAAGCTTTTTAACATTTAGGGCCTTGTTTGATTTGCAAAGTGGAAACTAATGAATAAAATAAGTATTTCATAAAACAGAATACTATTCTTCACTCTACTAGTTTATATGTAGCCCATATTAGAAAGAGCGATATGAACCTTACCAAACACACCTTTCAGAATAGAGTTATTAAATTTAACATACTGAACAATTTATCTAATTGTCTCTAGAACAATATATATATATATATATATAAACAAATTTCATATTATATGTTCATGCATCTGAAGTTCAAGCAGAACTGAAGTTCATGCATCTGTGCATTTGTAAGAACATAGGATATATGTTCCCCAAGTAACATATGTTAATCTTCCTAAGAGACAAGAGAGCTTAATTTTGACTACATTCAAAGTCCACTTATTAAATTGTTAATCTAGAAACTCCATTTAATTCAACGGTGTTCACATTAATTAATTAATTAATTATAAAATAATTTCAGTCCCAAAAAAATCTAATTTTTCCAACTTTTTGGGCTGATTATAAAATTAGGAGAGACATACATGCAATTGAAGAACATGCAATGAAATTGGAATGTAATGTTATGAAGTGGTGAACAAGAAACCTAATTTAAGTATTTGACCAAGTATTTTAGGACTACTTAGGAATAGATTAGGAGAAAAAGAATATATGTAATAACTCAAACGAAGTTTCTAATTAACAAAGTTGTTTATAAAAATTTCAAAGAAAATAGAAAATAATAATTTATAAAGACAAATTACATTAAACTTCATACTCAAATTAGTTTAAGAAAACAATTAAAAATAATTTAAAAGACACAACTTCAACTCTTTGGATTTCAAAAATCTCCGAAAATTCAATCTAGTGCAGGGAGAAAAACAGCAAAGGTAGACTGCATTCTTGCAAATTAGAAGGAAGGAACAGGAAGTTTCCACCTCAGATCCATGCATTCTGTTTCTGTAATAAAATAAAATAATTATTAGCAAAAGCTCACTTGGTGCTTGCATTATGTAATTATTAATTGTTAGACAGTAGCAACAAAGTTGAAATTCAGCCGACCGTGTGGAAGAACACTGGTGAAAGACACCAACAAGTTAATATGAATCGTGATTAACATTCAAATGATGCTTTAACAATGACAACATATTGATATGACACAAAATAATTAAATAAATAATGATAAGGAAAAAAAAAAAAAAAAAAAAAAATTTAAATTTTTAACCATTATTAGTTAGGACGTTATTAAATAATGAATTTTAAGTTACCCTGACCATAAAAGGGAGTATAGATTCAACAAAAATAATATTTTATTCATTAAATTAGATTCAATGAAATTAGAGTGCTACGGCAACTAAAATTGAAATTCAGAATTTAGAAGAAAAAAAAAAGTTAAATTTAAGATACAATTAAAACTACTCACAAAGTTCAAAGTTTTTTTTAATAATTTAGCCGTTTAAATATTATATTTTCAAATCAGTATAGTTATTTGATTTCTTATTATAATTCTCACTTTTAATCGCAATGATTTCGATGATATAATCAAATTTTAGTATATACATATCGAAAATAAATAAAATTATATTATATTCCATGCAATACAAGTTTAACAATTAAGCCAATGAAAAATAATTTGCAGGAAAATATTTTTCACAACTTTTCATTTTTTGGGGCGTTCAAGAAAATAAGTCAATGAAAAATATTTTCCTGGTCAAAAAAAAAATTAAGTCATTTTTTAAGGAAAATAACTACTTATTTTCAAGAGACTAAAATATTTGCCAAACATCGACAAATCTTAAAAATCTATATTTTTTTAATTTATTAATCATCGTAGTTACTACCATCAGTCATTATTTACCACTGACTACCATCGGCCATCACCACCAGCCACCAGCGGTTTTGATAATTTATATTTTTTTTATATTTTTCTCATATTTAATAATAAAATTTTTAAATTAAAATTAGAAAAATTTTATATTTATTATTAATATATTTTTATGGGTCTAATGACATTAAAAACTTTAATATTTTTAACTAAATTCTCAATATTACAATCAACATGGAAAATAAGTTATTTGATAATATTTTTAACTAATTCTCAATATTACAATCAACCAATGGAAAATAAGTTATTTGAAAAATATTTTTCAGCAAGTTATTTTCCTGCAAATTATTTTACAGAAACAAATAGAGTATAAGTTTAATTTCTTTTATCACAATTTAAAGGGTTGGATATCCAGTCGATTTAATTTAAACCGAACCAAGTTAATGTAAATCGACAATAAACTAAATTTTTATATTAAGAAAATGAAATCAAAATTTTATTTTGGATTGATTCAATTTTCATTTCGACATAATATTTAGGTTTTTAGATTTCTTGAATTTATAATTTTATATGATAAAATTGAATTAACTAAAAAAAAACATTTTTTGAAAACTCAAAACTGAACCAAATGCTTTTAAAATTAAACTGAGTTCAATCATTTTCTTTGGCTTGATTTTTCTGTCCGAGCCAAATTATTAATTATGCTAACCACTAAAGTTTGGAGGGGTAAAAAATCAAGGAAGGGAAACTGTATCTTCAGGTCTTGTATTGTAGACCGTGTTCGACAATATATTTTTTTATGTGATTTTTAGCATTTTGATTTGTTAAAATGTTAAGTGTATTTTTTATAGTATTTGATAATATAGTATTTGAATTAATTTTAAAAGTTAAGCAAACGTTTTATAAAAAATTAATCATATAATATTTTAGAAAAAATTACTCAAACAACTAATAATTATTAAAATATCTAATTTTATGGAATAAACTGGTAGCTTACATTTCGGGCTATGCTCCGGAAATCAAGACACCGTTTGACATTTTCCTCTGGTGGCTGGAAATTTCCACACGATGAAGTGTCGATCAAGTTGGTTAAAAATTTCCTCAAGTTAGGAGGCAAAGGTCTTAATTGTAGAGCTGGCACTCATTAATTTCAAATTCAGTGATGGCCAAATCAAGAAGGTGATTTTGAATTTTGTCTATGCAAGTCTTCTTGGGCCATTGGAGTCAAACTTCAACGAATAACCGACAGATGGTGTGACACGCAACTCGGGATCCCTTATGTGTACGAAGTAAAAAAATTATTAAATACTTCACAAAAAAAAAAAAAAATTAAACCCATCTTTTATTTTTTTCAACTAGTTATTTTATACATTTTGATTGCTTAATAAGATCATGTAAATTCATCAAATTTTTTGATAATACATAAACATGTGATCTAAATTAAATACAATTTTAATAAATAAAGAAATAGATATTTAATGCTCCACATTTAGTCATAATTATAACCTCCTCCCTCTTATTTTTTATAAATATATTGATAGTTCTCAAATATTTTACCCCTTTAAATTATTTAATATTTCCATCCAAAAAAAATATCATTTTGAAGATTAAACATATGTAATGTTAAGTATTTATAAAAATACTTATAATAAAATGAAAATTAATATTTTTCTTTTACCTCCTGGTTGAGATATTCTTAGACTATATTTGGTTAGAGGTAATCAACCATGTAATAAAATGATGATTACATTATATTATTAATTACAATGTTTGAATGAGCTTTTTTGTTACGTTATAATGTAGGTGATTCCAATTATATTTCTCATTACTTAACATGTTGGAATATCCATTACATCAGAAAAAATACATGTATTGTCCATTACATCAAGCACATGCAATACCAAATTCACCAAGTCATCCAATCAAAACTCAATCCTTCAAGGCTATTTAACATAACTGTCTCACCACCACCACATCACTACCACCTCCTCACCACCACCACCACCACCACCACCACCACTACCACCATCGCTCTGCTACCACTACTCCATCCCCACCACCTCCACCACCACTTCAACCAATCTACCACCACTACCACTCCGTCACCACCACTTAATAAAATCAATATTTTAGTATGCAATACAAAATAAAAATTCTATTTTGTTCTTTTATTTTGTTATAGGAACGGGAAGAATATAATGAAAAATCACTAAAAAATTAAAATACCCCTAAATTATATTGTAATTTAATTTATTCAATGAAATATATGAAAAAATTAATTTCTAATGACTTTAACTTTTATTTTGTTACATTATATTTTTTCTAGCTTACTTTCTTTTAATTTTTTAGTCTAAATAAATTTATAAATCTAAATGGTACTTAATAGTTTAATATAATAAATAGCTTTTGGTTCAAATATTTCTTTTGTTTTTGTTCAAATATTTCTTTTTGTATTAATTAATGATATGGTGGTGCGTAGAGCTGCCGTCGGTATATTACCGGAGCGCACGTGCCTGAACTCACCACCATATCATTATTAATAGCTAAAATATGGAGCATATTTT